CACACACACACACACACACGAAACAAATAATTAAAAGGGAAAAAAAAAAAGACAAATTTTGTTTTCCCTTTTTCTTTTAATATTTAATCCATAGACATAACAATCATTTTAAAGAAATTTTGACTTTTTGTCCCATGAAATCCAATATCGCATGTTTGAATAAGTTGGAGAGTCAAAATCTCCCTTTTGAAAGTTGGAGTGTCTATTCCACTCAATCCTAATTTTTTTCTTAGAGATTCAAATTCGTTCATTAAATCGATATTCACATCTTGACAACTTGTAGAATTTTAAAGAAATTACGCCCCAGTTTGGCACCCATTTTTTCCAATTTTTTCAATCCATTTTGCTACAGTTGTGAGCCCTAGCCGAACGGATTATCTGCCATTACATGACATTGCTATCAAATGCCTTTGATATTTTTCGAAGTTTTCGAGTCTGCCCTTGAACCACAAGTAGGTGGCTTTCAAATGATTGTGTTCAAATGGTTGAGGGTAAAGATGTAAAGTTGCAATGAAATCTGGGGGCGAAATTGTCCAAAATGGCTGAATGGCATTAAACATGCTGACAAAAAAATTCTGAATTTACACAAGTTATTGTCAGGATTTAACTGTAGCAAAATGAGATTTCTCTTTAAAAAAAAAAGGGTGTCAAACGGGGGCTACATTGCAATTGCTTATTTTAATCTTTAAGAGAAGTTGACTATGTGCCATTCCCACACTTAGTTAACAGTATCTCTAACAATTTTTATCCAGAAATCCTTGTATTGCATATTTATTCCAAGGATTTTCATGATGGTCAGATGGTATAAAAAATAAAAATACATGATCCATTTATACTTTCTCCAAACGTTAAAGTCCCCAACTGCAATTTTTCTTCCTTCTCCTCAAAACCAAAAAAATCTAGGGAAATTTGGCCAAATAGTCGGGTAGGACAATGTATTTGAAGATATGGCCTTTGACCAACAATAAAAGAAAAGGAAAAAATTCAAGATATTTTAAATGGTCAAATGACAATATTATCCTCCAATTAATAGTAAAATATT